CGTTGTGATTGAATAAATAAATTTGCCAGTACGGTCGAGAGAAGATTTTTCCTTTTTTAAATTCTGTCTGGCGATTCTCAAATATCTACGTTTTATTTATAACTAGTTTTGTTTAATAATACATTGTGCCAAAGATCAGAATATTTTATGACGAAATTGTAATTAATTTTCTGCAAATCTATCAGTCCCAACTGCCATACATATGTATGTGAGAATTGTGGCCTGTACACTTTCGTGTTTTTATTTTTATTTTATTATTTCTTACGTACAAATATAACTAGTTTTTTGTTTAGTTAATACATTGTGTCAAAGAGTCAGAACTTTATAAACGATTAATTTCCTAGTACTTGTAATCAAATGATATATATTCATTATTATTTTCGTGATTCACATATTTTATGAGATGTACTATTGATCAAAAAGTCATTTTATTTTATGTCATAATTCGAATACTATAGTACAATTCTACTCCATAAAATATTGTACATGCGAAGGAAGTACATTATCCTTGTTATAATATCGATTTTTATCGAGGTAAGAGTTGTGTGATGTAAAAGACTATGATATCTTTTTTGTATCAAATGAGTCTGACGATGAAAATAAAATAGCTAATTCACAAAATATTTTATTTTGCTGATTTTTCATTATTGTTTCACTGCAGATTGGCAAGATTTATGAGACAGTTCCTCAAAATTTAACGTGTTTGTATTTTATTTTAAAACAACAATTTTATATATCTATCTATTGCATTAATGTCTGTTGTAGATTTTAGAATTATAGAATATGTTAATATTTCCTGGTTATAAGATTGTTGTTTTAAAATAAAATATAAACTTGTTGATAGACTTGGTGATAAATAAATACTTGCAAAACATCAATGTGTATGTATTGACTAATATATATGTATACATGACTAATATATATGTATACATGACTAATATATATGTATACATGACTAATATATATATGTATATATTAGTCATATACATATACATTGATATTTTACAAGTATTTATTTGTCACTTACAATATCCTTATGACGAGATAAATGCATTTGAATCACATGTCAATTTTGTAATTAATTTTCTACAAACCTAAAGTATAAAAACGCTCAGCTTGTGCGGAAAACAAAATGTTTAATTTTGTTCATTTATTTATAATAAAATTAAAATTTCTAAATATTTAATTAAAATGAGTCAACAACATATACCTGAAATTACAGAAATTTTATGAGATTTGTGTTCCTCTTTTGCAATTCATTCAACTTCTTTCATCAACAGTGTTAGAATTTATTATTTTATAACTCAATTAATTCATGGGTGGTGCTTCTTGTTAATGCTGTGTTGGGTGCTGCTCCCTTTCTTTATTGTATTATTTAGTACTAACATAAGTCTTGTATGTTTGCTCGTTTGTTTATCTCAGATTATATATCTTGTCTCTGAACAAAGTGTCGTTTATCCATTCATATCCATATTCTGCATGATATACCTGCAACAGGTTATGGGCCTAGTCTCGGTAGATACCGGGAATATAATTTAAGTCGAAGAAAAATATACAATTTATCTATTTTTCTGTGGTTTGTTGTTTTTTTGTACGTATCGGTCGAAAGCATGGCGATAGAACCGGCTTCTCGGTCGCTTTTGCGAAGCTCAAAAGACGAGAAAATTATATTAACTGGAAATTCCAAATAAAGAATTATTTGCGGCATGACCTATGTGCATTTGTGGAGTGCTATCAGTGGATACGTCAAAGGCAATAGAACGACAGCCGAAGAAAAATTACGAAGGGATGAGAAAGCTCTCTCGAAGATTAATCTCATGGTCGATCAATGCTGCTTTTCATACCTTATGACGTGTGAAACTGCTAAGCAGACATGGAATGTACTTGAAAATTTATTTAAGAAAATGCAGATAAGAGACTCAATCGACGTGTGGGACTTCTTCGTAGTCTATGTTCCGTAAGATTGGAAAATTTTACTTCAATAGAAACCTATGTCAATGAGGTTATGTCGTCGCTGAAAAACTTCGTACTGTAGATAAACCGGTTGATGATGAATTTCTAGGAGTTATTATGTTACTAGGTCTTCCTGACACATATCAACCTATGTGCATGGCGCTTGAACATTCAGGTGCTATAATATAAGTTGTAGAGAGTTCAAAGCAAAACATACAGCTATGCTCATAATTTCAAACATTAATTTTTAAATTTTTTTCCGGGGCGCAGAATACATGAACTATTTTCTTTTTTTTAATTTTTAAAATATTTATTATTATAGGTAAGAATCTTCTCTCGACCGTACTGGCAAATATTATTTATTAAATCACAACATTTCGACCCTTCTTTGAGTCCTTATCAAGTGATCTAGATATACATAGAGAAGAAATACAGTACAGAGATTAATACAATAAAAAAAATTACTTCACTTAACAATATTACAAAATAATAAAAAGAAGCAAAACATACTTGTAAAAATAAAAATAAAATTATAATTTTAAGATGTCAAGAACGAACATAGTGTCGGTTTGAAAACACGTCAAGACTCTTAGACGAGTTATTTGAGACTAAACGACCTTTATTATTTTGTCGTAGATATTACTTAGATTATCGGTATCCTTTTGTAAATTAATAGCGTTATTATTTTTCTTAATAAAAAACATTTCAGCGATTTCTCTCTTTCTTACGTGTTTTTTATTGTGCACAATAACAGGCAAAGTCCAGTCAAAATTGTGATCAAATTCAATTTTATGTTTGCTGATAACTGATAAATTACTCAAATGCATTTTGATGTTGCTGTAATGTTCCTTTACACGTGTACATAGATGTCTCTTTGTTTGTCCGATGTATGACACGTTGCAATCATTACAATTAACTTCGTAAACTACTTCAGTCTTTTTATCTGTAGGCAGTCTATCCTTGCCGAGTGTAATTAAATGATTCGGTTTTTTAGGAATATTATGAACAACATTAAATTCAATATTTTTAAAAACCCATCTTGGCAGAACTGGTGATGGATGATCTTGAAACACATTGTTTAAGTCAACTTAGTTTCAATGTTCCGACTTATTATAGATATGTTGACGATATTTTCGCTATTATTCCAAAGACAAAAATTACATTACATTTTAAATGTTAAGCTAGAAACATGTACCTTATAAAAAACATATTTCTAAAAATAAATGTGCAATGACAATGTTACTGTATCTTTTGCAAATTAAATAAAAACTTAGTGTAAGCTATTTCACTTAATAAAATACAATGAGGGAATTTTTTTCAGGAATATTACGAATGTAGAATCAATCTCGAACTTATGATTAGATTCTTCATACATTCGGCTAAGATACATATATCTCTCATTGATCTGGTATTAGTAAGAATGGCGTATTTTAAGATATCGTTAAATATCACGGATGCGGCCGCATGAATTATTATATTTACTCTTTTAATCAGCATTTGTCTATCGACAGCTGATAAACCTAAATTTTCTTGACTGGTATCGCCAGAAATTGGAATTAATTTCTTAAAATTTGAAGACTGCTCCTGTCGTAATTTATCGTATAACTGAAATAAAAAATATTATGTCTATATAATATTTGTTAGAATATTTAACATAATAATGTTTAACTGTAAAATATTTTTACGCAAAAGTTGTAAAATGTTTTTTAATCATTTTATCTAGAATTTATATAATTATTCTAAACGTTTCTCTCAATGTTTCGTCTCACTTTTTATCAAATTTATTATAATTATAAAATTAATTTTGATTGACATATATAGTGTAATAAAAAAATAATCTAAAAATTCTTTTTATCAAAACGTTATAACAATTTTTAAAGAAATGCTGTGTGTTGCAGGAAATATCACCATTTTATAAATAACTTATCGGTAAGTTTAATATTTTCTCGAGTCTTTTGTTAAGACTCAGTTCGTTTTTTGGACACATCAATATAAATATTTCTCGAACATCCGGACAAGATCGCAGTAGCTTTTCGAAATATATTTTGCCCAAAAAACTTGTTACACCTGTCAAAAGTATACTTAGTCCAGCGTAAAAAGCCGAAATTGATTTTGCTGCATTATTTTTATCCATTGTTGTTAAAATAAAGCAAAACGATATTAACAATGTAGACGCAGGAGCAAATAAATTCTACAAATGCACTTGAAACGATATTGCCTCTTTTAAGTCAATATCGTTATACTAAGAGATAGCTGTATACTTTGATTTTATAGATAGTAGAGTCCAGTGCCGGTTTTACTATATAGACATTATAGGCAATTACCTAGAAACATCACAAGAAAAGAAACGCCACGCCCAAAATGATTTAATTACTTGTTTTTTATTTTTGAAATTATAATTAAAGATTGTGCCGCTTTAAAATCGCGCAAGTACATTTTTAACTGTTTAACCTTTTGTTTTGTTGTAATATATTTTTCTTAATTTGTAAACGTACCAAAGAAACGTACAAAAAATAAATGTTTTGTTTATTTGAATTTATATTTTAATTTTTTTCATATTTTATTCTTAGTTTTGTTTATAAAGTAAGTAAAAATTTCTAAAATTTTACATAATTTTTATCTTATTTGATATCTTCCCATATTAAATTGAAAATGCAAAGGGCGAATCGAAGTTTGTCTAGAAGCGAACTGGTTCTAAAATCAAGTCAAGTGACGTCATTTTGACCTTTAATGACGTCAATTTGTTACCTGGTGTGTGTTTGTGTGTGTGTGTATACATATATAAATGATATTTAACATAATTATAATATAATATTAATAATATAATATAATATATTATATTTGTATATTTTATTATAATATAATAGTATGTACATATGTAATAGTATGTACTTCTCTATTTCTTCTTCTTCCTTCCTCTTCTTCTTTTTGCTTTATCTTCTTTGCCTTCTTTATCTTTTTTTATTTAATTTAATGTACATAAAATAAATCAAAATAATCTCAATCATTATTTTATATCACACTATTAACTCCTCGACACGTTTGAACTGTCAAAATACGTCTTTCAATCGTGACAGTTTTTTACTCACACACCTCAACATTAATTTTATCTCTTATTAAATTGTACTTACAGAAGTCATTAATTGAATACAAATTGTAAATATGTACGATACGAGTCGCCACTTTAAGGACCAAAAGCACATTGAGTGTGTGCGTGCGAAGTATAAGTATATGTGAAATCTGAAAACTGAAAGTTTTAAAATAAAATGTGAAAAATTTCGCATTTTTAGATGCAAATTTTCGAGTTCTTAGAACTGACTGCGTCAATTATTTCCAAACTAGTCACAATTGATAGCTCATACATACTCATACATAAGCAAAGTGTCGTTCGATTTTCGATTTAGAAGACACGTTACAAGAAATATAGTATTGATGACAGTATCTATTGGTATGTAATTTTCTGAAATATTGTTGCTAGCTAATGGTACTATAATTACTTATCATTCACATGTGTGTGTATGAATATATTTACTGAGCATTCACATGTTTGTGTATAAATATATTTACTAAGTGTTGTAAATAAAACGTTACAATTTTTTATTTCTAAAAGTATAATTTTTAGAAAATAATGCTGCAAATAAAAGTTCCAGTATTTCAACAGAGATATACATACTTTGATCTTACAGAAATGTTTGTAGAAGGCAATTTTCAATATCATTAGTAAAAAAATGTAATATGTTGAACACAATAAATTGTTTTTTTTTTTGGACATGCATGTTAATTTATAATATATGGAAACTGCCGAAATATATTACTTTGATCTAATGGTACACCAAAATTTTCACCTAAACTTGAAAAATCCAAAATTTCTCGTCCCCCTCCCCGCGCGTGACGTTATTCTCTCGCGCTAAAAGTCCCTCTCGCCCCACATCCCCGTCGGTGCTCATGGGTTAGAAATCTTCTTATATCACTATTAACCTATGAGTATATTATTTCTTACAAAATAATTTTTGGAATTGTAATCAATTCCACGTGAATTATAAATAAAATTAGAGCTCTCGTTTTATATCAAAATTCGCAATGTGATATGTGATTTTGAGAACTTATATGAATATATGGTAATTTAATGTAAAAAAAAGGGTTTACATTATGTATTTTAAGAACAAATAATATTGATTACAATAAAGAACAAATGTGTAATAAACATGGATTCTACATTAATACCCAGATAGCACGAATGTCAGAAAGACCTCAATTAGAAATCTTATCAAAGATTGCTTTCCGAGCTCTCAATATGATTTCTAATAGATTTAAATTTGTAGAAGTCTATTATAAGATTTCTTTAAGATATCTTGTTTGAGAAATTAATTTTACGAGATCAGTAAGAAATCTTTTTCCAGCTAATTTTATGGATTTCTTATTGAAGACAACAGAACGTTATCTTGTATATGATGTATTTTAGATTTGTTCGCGCGCTTGCGCATTATATTAATATGTATAGTGTGTTCCAGTGTATAGTGTATACTCAGTGCTTTCACGTGTTCTTTATATGCAGCTACAATTAACGTATCGTTGTCGTGTTGTCGATTGATTTATGATTCAGGTAAGTTTATGATGTAAATATTAATTAAACAATAAATGCTACAAAAAATACAAGATGTAAAATATTAAAGTAATGAATATAAAACCAATTTTTTGATAATATAACCGATTCCAAAATTAACATAACCAAAAATGTTTAACATATGATCAAATTGCATTTATTATAAATTAATTTTATAATATCAACAAAGAATATGAGATACAAAATATTCATAATAATATATATAATGTATTTATACACATATAAATTATAGGACTGGATATTTTATCAAGAAGAAGAGAGACTAGTCCATAAACTGTCTCAATAAAACTGATTCATTACTGTACGTGGAAACAGAAACTTTTATTGAAAAGATAAAACTTATCGAGACGTTATCGTGTCTGCAGATAAACATATATACATATACAGGCGAGAATAATTTAATAATTATATTTATTTATTTTTTATAGATTTATATGAATTTTTCTGTAGTAAATTTTTAAGAAAAAATTATTGAAATGCAGCAGTAATAAAACACAAACTAATATAATAACAATAAGTGTTATATAATATCCATGTTATAATTTGCCACTCAATTAGTAATATAAAACTGTTTCAGAGATTATGATCAATTCCGGGCGTAATTGTACAATCTTTGACGTACAAGAAACAATTCAAAAATGGCTACAACATGCAAGTGATCGAGTTCGTTATATAGAAAAAAAACACGCTCAAATATAATTTTAAAATTTTGGCATAAAAATTATATTATTTTTTCTATTTCATAATATTTTATTTTAATATTATTATTTTTTTCATAATAGTTTATTTTTCTTCTTCACATTTTTATTTCTATTAAAGTTTTATTATATTTACGATCTTAATTTAATATATATTAATCTATAAATATATATTAAAAATGTTTATTTTATTATAGATTAATATTTTTTTTATTTAATCAAATAATTTAAAGTTCAATAATCATTTTTTAATTATTATAGTTAATTAAAAATCATAAAAAGCATATTAGCATTTTATATTATAAAAATATATTATATTATATTTTATATATTAATATAAATATAATGTTTAAAAAGTTTATATTTGTATTTAAGTATTCAAAATACACACACACACACACACACACACATATATATATATATGTATGTTTATGTATATATAGTAACCCCTAAATGGGCATAATATTATCGTATATTTTTGTTTGTGAAGATTTCTCATATAAATAAGAATTTTCCTTTAAGCTTCAATATTTACTCTCAACATATTTAAAATCCCTGGTAAAATATTTAGCAAATAAACTCTCGGAAGAGAAATATATGTGAATGAAGGATGAATATATGAAGGAAAATTAATTGTCTCTTGTCTTTCATCAAAAACTCCCTTTGGGGATCTTGCTAAATATTTTACCAAAGGCATATTTTTTTGTGTCTCGAATGTTTTAGAATAAGTTTTAGTAGTTATACTAGGGGGGTTCTAACTCAGGGGCAATGAGGGGGGTGCGGGGCGGGGGGGAATCGGGGGCGAGGGGGGTGACGTCACGCGGGGGGAGGGGGTCTTATCAGTAGATAAGCTTATCTTTTGTTTATAAACATATCAGATAACCTGATAAGGGGATCATGTTACCTGATATATTTATAAACAAGATAAGATAAGGGGATCATGTTACCTGATATATTTATAAACAAGATAAGCTAAGTTTTCGAATCCAAGATAAGCGGCGTCTTTGTAAGGTATCAAAGATAAGCGGCGTCTTTGAGCGGTATCAAAGTTTTCATAAATTTTCTCCGAAGATAAGATAAAAATTCTGCGAATGGCTGCCGCATTTCGAGCGCCGACAATCAGGGGGAAGGGGGGGGGTTGCGTTTCTTCTCCTTATACGTTATCTGTATATTTCTAAGAAATATAATCAAATTCTAAGAAGGGCCACCGCTTGGCATACGCCGACAATCAAGGGGGTTGCGTTTCTTCCCCCATACGTTATCTGTATATTTCTAAGAAATATAATTAAATTCTAAGAAGGGCCGCTTGGATCCGAGCGCCAACAATCAGTTCTCTGAAAATCTAAGATAATCAAATTTTAAGAAGGGCCACCGCTTGGCATACGCCGACAATCAAGGGGGTTGATACATGATCTATACATATATTTCTAAGAAATATCAGCGGGTAAAGTTTCAGGGCGAACAAGTTGCTGCCTGCAACCTCGCCGCTTGCGACCTCGCTGCCTGCAATCTCACCGCTTGCGGCCTGCGACATGTTTTTGCATGGAATTGTATATCACCCTCGCGGTACCTCCCCAATAAGCGGCGGTTCTTTATTGTTTATCTTAGGAAGAAATACCAGCGCCGATAACCAGCGGCTGCAGGAATTTATAAACAAAACAAGCGCCGAAAATTTACGTCATCTAAATTTTTCTCGTTCGTACGTTGACGAACAAAGGGTTGATCGGGGATATATAATGAGGACCGATGCCGCTGCCGGGCCATAGTACCACTGGCGAGCGCATGCTTCATTCGAGGTGCAAGAAAAAAAGT